GCCAGTTACAGGGGGGAGCTTGGACAAAAAAAAAAAGAAGAAAATAAAACAAACAAACGTCTTCAGCCAAGGGCGTCGTATAATAGTGGAGGGTCAATGCACAAGCTGGAGGTACGACGACCCCCGAGACTAAGTAATTAACAAAAACAAAAACAAAAGATTCAGCTGACGAAACTCAACATTAGATCGCTAATGACCTCGTCGCTCGGACTGAGAAGATCATATTACATACTTACTTAGTTGTCGCCTCTGGTATTGGTGTCAATTAATGACAGCGATTAACGGTTTATTGCAGTTTCTATATTAGCTGGGGCAACAGCAAGTGAGAACGTTGCAGTGTAAATATCCCGCATGGCGAGATACTCAGCTGCCAGGTGGAAGGGAACATTCTAAGAGAATACTCCAAGTTAGAGTGTAACTCATTTATTCTCAAAATTATAAACATTGAAGCCCATCTTATTATCTGCCGCTTATCGCATGAATCCATTCATTATACAGCTCTTAGTCATAATAAAGAAGTAGTCTTGTCCACACAGTTTGAGCTTTGCTTATCTATAAGTTTTGCCGGAGTCCTGGACAGATCGGATGCCTTTAAGGTCCCGATCCTGGTTTTCCACATATATAATCCAAGGTTTTGCCTCAAACCTCTTAGTTGTACATAAATTGCAAGCAGGCTATTTCCGCATGCAAGATCCTCCAGTTTTTTGCTAGGCCTCCATGGAAAACTGAAAATGTTCTAGCTCCGAATTAAAAAGAATTTACGTAATACGATTTTATGCTGTATTATACAAAATATCATTAGGTTTATATGAAATGGTATAAAAAAGTAACTAGCGCAATCGGAACAAGTAGAGATTGCGATCGGATCGGCGCGCAGGATCTGCGTTTTTTCTCTATAATAGTTATACGACTTTCAAGCATGGGATAAACAATTTTGTGCTCCTGATAGTATTTGGTTAATATTTCGCGATCAATCAGCTTTAGACGATGGAGTTCCGGTTCTATGGGGTCCTTAAAATGTCTGTGACCATCGCCACCATTCAGAATAAAGCTTGGCACAATTACCGAGTAAAATTTGTCCCTCTCCAAGGGCTCATATTTTGGAATTCTGCAATCGGCGCATAGCACATTAATTGATGTGACGCGTTTTCCCTTTGGTCGATTGTAGTTGATGACCAGGCGCAATCCGGACACTTGCAGGAAGCCCCCATCCGAGTCAGTGTGCCGCAAGGCTGCCGAGTACTCCAAGGCTTTGACAAGATCATGGCCCTTGATGCGGGTGACCGACACGGTATTGCCATATGGCAAAGCTGTGGCTATATCCACGCCCGTGACAGTTCCATCCGGGCCCGGATCGATGCTCGCGCGTATGCCTATCACAAATATGCCTTGACAACGTGTATGAGATGAGCTTTAAAGACATGCAACATACCGCCCGAATTCATTAGGGCTATCGCTGCATCCGTCCAATAGAGACCGCCATAGTCCTCAATAACTCGGCCGTAGACCAAAGCGTCGCCAATAAAGTTGCCAAAATTGCATTCCGATTGACGACACACTTCCCGATCGCCATTCAGAACAACCTTACTTACGCCAACCACTTGGGTTTCCAGCTCATCAATAGTCGCCCTCTTACTGTCCAAGAGGGCCTTCACAGCGGAATCATGCGCCACTGTGTTATCCAACAGAATGGGAGAGCCACTATATTTGATCAAGCGGCCTCCGTTGTCAAACTATTCGAAATATAATTCTTATGGATTAACCCGATATCAATGCTTAGCTTCTAGCATCATCAATGACCCCTACCTCCAAATCGATTTTCCCCAAATACTTGGTATACGCATACGCCTGAAGGACCAGCACCTGTTGCCCATTTGTTCGGGTGACCACAGTTGGATAGTTGCCCACGGGGTTCTCCCTCTCCGGCGGAGTGCCTGTGAATAGGAACGTGTGCGAGTGTCCTCCGACAACAAGATCAATATCCTGGCAACTCCTGGCGATATCTTGATCCATGCTGTAGCCGGAGTGTCCAAGTGCAATTATAATATCGACTCCTTTGTCAGTTAGTTTTTTGGCCTCGGCACTTGTGTGTTTCACAATTTTAATACCCCAACTATATAGCTAAACATATCGAATACGTACTTAATGTAAGGTATTTCATTATGGATTTCAATATCGAGTGCCGAGACTAGTTTTCTTGTCACGGGCGTCAGATATCCAATAATTCCGATTTTCTTCTCAAACTTCGTGATGATGGTCGAGTGAACCAAGCTCTTCATATTTTGCAAGACTGGAGCGTTTTTCAGGATTATATTGCAGCAGACAACGGGGAATTTGATCATTTGAAGAAAAGGCACCAATCCATTGACGTTGTCATCGAGCTCGTGATTGCCCAGCGACTATTAAAGGAAAGGGAAATGCAATACGCTTGCATGTGCCGACCAAAGTACCCACCATTGCATCTGGATTCAGCATATTCATCAGTTCGCCCGCCAGCTCACTCCTGAATATTGTGAACCAAGGAGTTCCCTGAAAGGTATCGCCTGCGTTTAAAAAAATCGTTGGACCCTCGGCTCGTGCCTTTGCCACACTAAATGGTTAACAGTGGAAAGTCTTAAAGTCAAACTGGTAACCGGTCAAAACTTACGCCGTAGCCACTCTTGCAAAGCCCCCGAAGCACAGGCCCTTCTCATCATCGCCCATGTCGCACTTTTCATTGCTATCTTTCATCGGGTCATATCTGGCGTGCATATCATTTGTGTGTACGACGGAGAACTTAAGACCCGTGTCTTGTTTAACAAGCACTAGCAATATTATTGAAGACCAGTACAATTTTAACCATAGTTCCATTTGAATGCCATTCAAGTCCTTTTGCGTCTAGAACTTATGTGCCTCCAAATTATTAGGCTTTATTTATAAAAATAATTACATTTGATAAGTTAACTATGACAAGTAAAAGTATTTATTTAAGACTGCTTGCTAGGATATACGAAAATTTTAGTTATAAAAAGCTTACATATCTTACGAAAGAGGAGCTCAGCTTAACTTGATCCTCTGAAGACAATACGGCCCTCCACTTCCGGAGTCACAAATTGATGGTATTCAAAATACTGTCGAACAGCTTGAACAATAGTCTTTTGCATCCGTATTGTAACCGGGTTCATTTCTTCTACCAAAATGAAACCCAAGCCGCCATTCAGTATGAACTGCGGCACAATCACATTGTAGTAGGAGGTCTCGTTCAGACTGCTGTAGGTTGGCACTGTGCAACTGGCGCAACGCACCTGCACTGAAGCAACTCGATTACCTTCTGGCATATCCGGATTGTAGACCACATGTATGCTGGATACCTGAAGAAATGCTCCGTCGGAATGCTTATTTCTAGCCGCGGCCGAATTTTCAAGTGCATTCCGTAAGGTCCTGCCACTGATTCTTGTGACATAAAGATCATTATCGAAAGGAAGGACCGTCAACAGATCGCTCTGAGTGATAATGCCATCGGACTTCCGTTCGATTGAGCTGCGTATGCCTGGAAATTGAGGGGTTACTTTCGAACTGTTCCAGCAATCGAGAAAACTAACCGCCGCCCTGCTGAATTGCAATAGACGCATCTGTCCAGTAATCGCCGCCCTGATCCTCCATAACTCTGCTGAATACCATGGCATCGGTAATTAGATTTCCCATATTACACTCGACCAAACGACAAACGGCCTTACGTCCCTCCAGATACACCTTGCTATGCCCCGCAATGGACTTCTCTAGGGCCGTAACATTCTCGCGGTAAACCTCCAACAGGTTAAGCACTTCCTTGTCTTGCGCGACTCCGGAATCCAATAGAATGGGCAAACCATCGAACTCGATTAAATTTCCATCTTTATCGAACTGTATAAGAATATATGATTAATAGAAATTTTGTGACCAAACTGAACCTGAACCAACCTTCACGTGAAGTTTACCCAAGTACTTCGTGTAGGCGTAGGCCTGCACCACGGGAACTCTTTTACCACTCTGCTGTGTAACTACGGTGGGATAAGGACCGTCTATACTTTCGACACTTGGCTTCTCTCCGTTGAACAGAAATGTGTTCGTATGTCCGCCAATAACAAGGTCAACTTCATGTCCTGGTCTTTTTGATAACCAGAGTGTCCCAAGGCAATGATAATCTGAAGGCCTTGAGCCTTTAGTTTAGCCGCCTCCGTGCTGCAAGTGAGCAAAAGGTCCACATAAAACTAGTATGTGGTTATGCAAAGACGTATACTTAGTTAATTGAATCGATTTCCTCATTGAATTCCATGCTGTCTTTTACTGACAGCAATCTTGTTTCCGGCGTGACGTACCCAATCACGGCAACTTTTGTGCCATTTGCATCGAGAATAGTCGAATTGACTAGTTGCTTAGAGGCAGCCAGTTCAGGTTCCCTCGCAGGATCCAGGTTACAGGCCATCACGGGAAAACTTACGTAATTTAGAAATCTTACGAGACCCTCGACTTTCTCATCAAATTCGTGGTTTCCTAGGGACTAGATTTTTTTGAAGAAACTTAGCTTTACTCATTTTGCCCATTTTAACTTAGAAGTTACAAGAATGGAGATTTAAGCGAAAAAAAATGGATAACCTTTACTTTCTGGCACTTACCATTGCATCTGGCTGCAGTTTATTGAGGAAATCGCTGACAATTTTGTGTTTGAAAAGTGTAAACCACGCTGTGCCCGCAAATGTATCACCTGCATGGATTATTGAGAGACCGACCATATCCTTAAACTGAGAGAAAAGAGAGAGAGGGGGACTAGTACTAGGCAGACAGGTGGACAGATTAGCCAGCGTATATAAGTTGATGGGTCTGGAGATACCTCGTCTGCCTGCCTTATTCATTTGCATTTCAATGGATATAAAAATACAAAGCATCCGCTTGCATTATGTATCACGTCATTTAAGCAACGGAAGTATCTCATAATTATAAAATTTAAAACAAATCAAAATTTTTACGTGCACTTTTGCTGCATCCGTTCCCAAAGAGAAAGGTGTTTGTATAAAAGCAAAGTCCTCGACATTGCAGAATCATTCAAAAAACAGCACCCGAAGCTTGAGAATATCCCTGATTAAGTAGCTCGAACAGCATCATCCATTCAATATGAAAGTAATCATTGTGGCTCTCATTGCTTGCCTGGCATTTGCGTCTGCTCTTCCTCAGATTGAGCGGGGCTCAATATATGCACCCAGTGGAGTAAGTGCTCTCATAATAAATAATAATTGGTTAATTACTCAACAATAAATATTGCTTACTCTTCGCAGAGGTTTGCCATGACCGAGAACTGGGCGGCTCCACCAGTTGACCTGAGCCAACCCATTGTATTCCTGCCCGTGGCAACTCCCATTACTGAAGCACCTCAAGAACCCAAACTCACAGCCCGTCATTTGACTTGTTAATTATTCTAAATATTTTAATTTAAATTAAAAATGTTATCTATGTGTTAAATAATTATTATATCAAAGATTTCACAAGACTAATATGGCATTTAATTTAATTACTTTATTCGTCTGTCTGTTCTCTGTCCGATCTCTGTGGCCATCAATCTTGAACTTGATTTCTGCATTGTAAGGTTTTCATATCTTCAATATCTATAATCGTCATTGGCATTTCATAGAGTGTTCAGTATGGTGCATGATCCAGCGAAAAACCTGAAAGTTGCATTCCTGATTTATAAAACTTTGAAGATTTACATTATCCTAAAAATACACCAGATGATGCACATCTCTCTTGGCTGACAATTCCAATTGGAACAAAGGTCAATGTTATCTTCTGGTTATATATATTTGCAGTATATTTCAAAAAATAATTGCAAATAAAATGTTTAAAATAATAAACAAATGATTTATTTTGTTGTTGTAAGCGTTTAATTGAGCTGTTTTATTGAATTAAAATCTGACTTGAGATTAGCAAATATTTATATTTTGTATATATTTATATTTTGCTTAAAAAATATCTAACAGGTTAAATTTGTAAATACTTATGAAATCATATCAAAATTTTGGCTTTATAGCAATATTGGCTTTCAGACTGTCGACAATATTAATATGGCTTTCATATGAAATACATTTGGGGTCAGCTTTTTACATCAAAGCCATGTTATTACTGATATCAAATGTTTGTATGCAAATAAACACTTTTGTAAATTCGACTTTTTTATTCAAATGTTACTACTTAAAATGTAGTTTCTTAAGCTTAGCCTCATCGAAAACCTCTCATCAAAAGGATAACAAAAACAAGAAAACTCAATGTCGCATTTGCTGTAATCGCAAAAAGTTGGCTGCCCATTGAAACTCTTTTACAAATGGTTTCTGCAGTTGAGAATTAATTTAATTAATTTAAATTCTACTCTCATATGACGACCGTGATCAATTCTGTTCTGGGTCTTAGTAACCTTTCTTCAATGGAGTCTACCGATCCGTGCACGAAATATGACCTCTTTAAGCTATTGCAAAGCGAGAACTGGAGGCTACTCTAACTTAATTATAGTATATACTTATATTCAAAACCATCGACTCGAATCAGTCTCTCATTGTTGCAGCTTTCTGTTTTCTTTCTTGTTATATCTATTGTTCGATTTCTCTTGAATTTGGCTTTGTGTCGGATCCCTACAATATTCAATTCATAAAGTGAAATAATTCGTGATATATATCCCTTAATATATTGATACTTCATCGTCATAAATAATGAGAGATTGTCAGGATTCGTTTACAAGTTACACGACTGTGCTCCTCGGCAGATGGGCTGAAGTGGATCATAATAAAAAACAATAAAAACTACTTAAACTATCTTGTGATAAAAGAAAAGTTGTGTCAAAAATGCCGTTTGATTGTATAAAAATAATGAATGTAAACCGAAAAGAATTGAATTGCAAGAGAGATTCATGTGACTCACGACACGGAAGCTCAGATTGGGAAGATTAAAATAAACATTTTATGCTTGCACTTTTGCTGCATCTGTTCCCAAAGAGAAAGGTGTTTGTATAAAAGCAAAGTCCTCGACATTGCAGAATCATTCCAAGCACAGCGCCCGAAGCTTGAGAATATCCCTGATTAAGTAACCCCAACAACATCATCCATTCAATATGAAAGTAATCATTGTGGCTCTCATTGCTTGCCTGGCATTTGCGTCTGCTCTTCCTCAGATTGAGCGGGGCTCAATATATGCACCCAGTGGAGTAAGTATAGGTCAATTTAATAATTACTCAACAATAAATATTGTTTACTCTTCGCAGAGGTTTGCCATGACCGAGAACTGGGCAGCTCCACCAGTTGATCTGAGCCAACCTATTGTATTGCTGCCCGTGGCAACTCCCATTGCTGAAGCACCTCAAGAACCCAAACTCACAGCCCGTCGCCTGATTGGCTAAATTACCTATATATTATAATTAATTAGAAATATATATTTATGCATTAATATATTCGCGTCAGACTGAATGAAAGACTCGCAATACAAACAAAACAAAACAGTACAGTTGAAATTTTAAGCCACAAATTAATATTTTTAATTGTATATTTAAAATACATTTTTCACCAAAGTGAGGAAATGAATTAACAAATTCCAAAATGAAATTATAAATATTTTACAGAACGTATTAACTGGGCTTTTGAACGCGAGCCCAGGCTAACTGGTAAGAGAACATAAAAATACGTGAAATATTTTAAAATATACAAACTCCAATTAAGATTCAAGGGATTGGTCAAATGTGGAGCCAACATATATAAATAAGCCATCGGAAATGGTAAATTTGACACGTTAAACCATAAATTATTGATATTTCGACGACCCAATTTAAGAAATTATTGTATTTTTTTCCCTACTCGCCCTGAGCCTTGGGGATTCCCCTTGAATTGTCCCCCTTGAATTGTTTTTCGGTGGCTGTCAATGATTTATATGTTCACAATTAAATCGAATAATTAGCTGAATATTCTTGTATTTCTAATCAAATTTATTTACTCGACGCTGACAAACAAGTTTCAACCGTTTCAAGAAATAGATAAAATGGAAGCTCTCAGTAAATACACACATTTATATACATATATATGTATCTTAGGGTAGAAAGAAATCAATTTGGTTGTTTTGTGATGTTATACATGGCGCTAATTAATGATTATAAATCCCCAAACCAGTCGACATTTCATACGATTCACGTAGCTAAGTCGAACATTTATAAGCATCCAGTTTCGTATGACTTACATATGCATATTTCGAGACGATCTGTGTGAGACGATACGAGACGAGGCGAGACTAGCTTGTGAAGCTCGTCTTAAACATTTCTAATTAAATTTGCATGATAACGCAGATCGGGGCTTTAAAAGCACAGCATCCGACATCTGGGCCTCGCATTGTTACTGACGGATCAGCCCAGAAAGGTTACTCGATAGAGCTAATTGTGCGAATATTCAGTGTGATAAGAAATAAAGTGAAATGTTTCAGAAAGGGGCCGATTTCTCGTACATATATTTTTATGAAATAACCAGAAATCTATTTTATGCAAGCTACGGGCCTGTTCTGGATTTCGATTCCGTTTAAATTTACTTTTCGACTGAGTCCAAATCGACTCCGAATCAACTCCGAATCGATTCCGAATCGACTCCGAATCAACTCCGAATCAACTCCGAATCGACTCCGCATCGTTTTCTCTTTGCTCCGATATCAACTGCTGGAACAGCTGTTTTTCCAAAATAGTGTTTGACCTAGAAAGAAATAAAAAAAATACTCAATATGTGAGAAAAAAGTTTAGCCAGAGAGTAAACCTGCACCGGCTGCCCAAAATAATGACAAGAAAGAAGATTTGATCATAACCAAATTAAATACCATCAATTCACTTTGATTTCGATAAGCTTGATCGGAATTGAAATCTAGAACAAGCACGCAAATTAATTGCGTAATCCGCATCAACTCAGCTACTGCCTGTCAATAATGCGGCTTTATTCAATTCAATTTAATCGGCTTAATCTTGTGAGGTGCAAGGTTTTCTGGTTTTTACCGCCGCGCCGGCTAATCGTTGCTGAAGTGAAAATTATAAAACGAATGACATGAGTATATAAAACGTTGCACAAAGTGTTATTAAAAATAAACCCGGCGACGGAGATTTACTGTTAATTTGATTTGTTCATAAATAATTTTTTTTACTGCTCACCTGGCCCCCAAACCAGGCCCCATCTAATTAACTGGCGAAACTTGAATTCAAGGTTTAAAAATAATGTTAATAAATTCGCAACAAAAGATTTAAATTCCCCATACTTATGATTGATAAATCTCAATGAATTCTGCCGCTTAATGATGGGAATTATAAAAACCAGAAATTATTAGCTTTGTGCTTGCAATTGCCTTACAGATAACAATGAGACTGGCGATTGCACTTCTGCCATTCGTGGCACTGGCCTCTGCCCAGTTTGGCGGCTTTGGCGGCAACTTTGGTGGCAACATTGGCGGCAACTTGGGCAATGCCGCCAATAGGCTGCAGCAAAGGGTTTCCAGTATAGCCAGCCGTTTGCCATCGCCGCCCGTACTCTCGAATGTGCAAGACTTTGGTGACTTTTTGGTGAGTACGCACAGCTGGAGGGAAATAGTTGCACGACTTCAACCTTGCCACATGTCCTTAGGCGCAATCGGGCAAATCCTATCTGTCTGCGGCGGATCGGCAACTGCGCGAGGGCATCTTCAGTGCGCGCAAGACCCTGGTGGAGGCCAAGAATGCAGCCTTCAAGAGCGGCGCCTCCACCTACGAGCTGGCCGTGAATGCCTTTGCGGATCTAACGAACGCAGAGTTCCTCAAACAGCTTACGGGCCTGAGGAAGTCATTATCCGGCGAGTAAGTGAACCCAAGCCAATATATTAGCTAATTGTCTGATGTTGTCAACTTTGGCTTCTAGGCAAAGAGCGAAGGCCCATCGTATTGCACCCAAGTTGGCAACGAATGTGCCACTGCCGGACTCCTTTGATTGGCGTGAGAAGGGCGGTGTTACGCCCGTCAAGTTCCAGGGAGAGTGTGGCTCCTGCTGGTCGTTTGCCGCAACGGGCGCCATCGAGGGTCATGTGTTCCGGAAAACGGGAAAATTGCCAAACCTGTCTGAACAGAATCTGGTCGATTGTGGCACTGTGGATCTGGGTCTCGCCGGCTGCGATGGCGGCTTCCAGGAGTACGCCTTCAATTTCATCACGGAGCAGAACGGCATCGCCGCTGGCGAGAAATATCCCTACGTGGACAAGAAGGACACATGCAAATATAAAAATGATATATCTGGTGCCCAAATCACCGGATTTGCTGCCATTCCACCAAAGGACGAGCAAGCCATGAAAACCGTCGTGGCCACTCAGGGTCCCTTGGCCTGCTCGGTGAACGGGCTGGAGAGTTTGCTGCTCTACAAGCGTGGCATTTACGCAGATGAGGAATGCAACAAGGGCGAGGTGAATCATTCCATTCTGGTCGTTGGCTATGGCACTGAAGACGGACAGGATTACTGGATTGTCAAGAACTCGTGGGACAAGGCCTGGGGCGAAGACGGTTACTTCCGTTTGCCTCGGGGCAAGAATTTCTGCGGAATTGCCTCCGAGTGCAGTTATCCCGTTGTTTAGTAACTAAACTAGCTAAATATCCCTGTCATTTTCGTACCAAGGTGTTTTAAAATTCCCACTAATAAATTTTAATCTAATTAGACTCGGAAAGCGCTTGTCGAAAAGCATTACAAGGCAAGAGTTTGTTAAATCCCTTTATCTCTGAACGCTGCGTTTACCATTGAATATTGCAATATATTCTTGATATCATGCCGCGTCATAGAACTATCAGGCCTTCAAGAATTTTACAAACTTTGGCGCCAAATTATCTATTGGAGAGTACAGGGTGTATATGATGCAAAATAAGAATTTATTATATATATTAGAGTTGAGAGAGAATATGAATTAAAATTCTATCTCATTTTTAATTAAATGCGCTGCCGTTAGCTACTTTCTGACGAAGTGAGAAAATCAATTGCAATTCAGTCGAGCGTGAAGCAAAAAAGGCGAATAATACGTCGCGTGTGTTGAGTGTTGGAAAATTTGTTCGTTTAGTGAACTAGTTGCAAGTTCTCTTGTTCTACTGTTCACAGCGAACAACCCAACACTGCTGGAGTGGGAAATAAATAAATAAATAAAAATAGTCGCCAAGTAAACTGTGTATTTAGCAAAGGAAACAAGCAAACGATGTGCATTGAAATGAGATTGCCATAAAAAATGACGATTGTGCGTCGATCGGAACGCCAATGCCCAATGCTGTTCCTGCAGGTGTGTAGCTAAAATTCTAACCAGACACAGACCCAGGCCCAGCCCACTTTTTGGCTAAGTGGTGGGCGTTGTCACCCCGTCTGTCTGTCACAAGGCTATGCTCGTACTGTGCGCTAACAATTCCATTGTGCGGCATTTGTCATTAACAATAACAATGGTCTTTATGTACATATGTGTTGCCTAATCGCATAATTCAAATTCCTTATTGCAGAAATGTGCTTGTTAGTCTAGTGCATTGATATTAATCCAAAGAACCCCCCGGGTCATATGCATTTTACCCACACAAAGTCAACATCACCAACTAATTGTCATACCCTCTTGACTAACTGATCAATCCAAAATGGACGAAGACATTATGAACGCTGTAGAATCTCTTTTCGGCAAGGATGTTAAAATTGTGGACTGCGAGACATCGTCCTCTGTGCAGCAAGAAGAGGTGCTGCTGATTAACGGTGTGCCTGTCAAATTGGACGGCCTGCCGGCAGATGATGCAAGTGCCATTAAGAGCGCTCTGCTTGACGGCCAGATGCCGGCAGTGGAGCACTTGAATCAGCTGCTGTTTCGTGCTGGGCTGGCGCAACAGCCCATAGAAGTGGAGACATCGCTGACGGTGAAGTCCTCGCTGACCACCACCGAGGAGGTGTTGGTTTCACGCAACGGGCAGGTGCTCGACGAGAGAACCGTCGAGACCAAAGAGCACTTTAACCATCAGTCGCACCAGAAGGAGATATGGCAGCCAGTCAAACAGCAGAACGCTCTGGCGCGTGCGACGCCAGAGAATGCGCTCAAGTATCGAACAAATTCGAATTCCACGTTTTCTTCACAGGCAACAGGCGATGGGGAACCCAATAGATCTGGCGACCAGCTGGGTCGTCAGCTGAATCAAACATTTTCGAATGCCTCACTCATGTCGAGCAGCTCTGCCCTAAGCGGTTCGGATCAAGTGATCGGCTCCACCTCCAATATGTCTACGGCAACAACGCTGGGCGAGAAGAGTTCGAATATTAGCAGCTGCGACTCGGGCCACGACGGCCTCTTTCACAGTGTCTCGATGAGCGCGCCCTACACAAAAGCCAATGCCCGCGACCCGCAGACGGATTCCATGTACTGTGACATTCCCAGCTCGGCAGACGAAGCTGATGCGGTGTCAGTCGCCTTGCTGGTAAGATCCTGACAGCAGCTTACAATAATTAGCCAGCAATTTTAATCGCATTTCTTACGCAGAGCACGCACTTGCAGATCACAGAGTCATGTGACTCAGTCAACGATTGCCAAACGCCGCCAGCTTATGCCAAAGACTTGCCAGCCGCTGGTGATATCGGTGCACTAGTTGCGCTTCTGGTCAGCTGCAGGAATGAGGAAGTAGAGTTTGCATTTCTACTATGCGCGCGTTTGTTTGTCACCGTTCAAGAGCTGCTGTCAAAGATTATTCAAGAGTGCCGCGGACAAGAGGAGGAGCTGCTGCGTCTGCTTGTGCACTGGCTGCGCATATGTCCTAACGACTTTCGCAATGAGACACTGCTTCAAGAACTGCGCAAGCACAGCGCCAGCAAGGCATTAAGTGCTTTTCTCGATCGCATTTCCGAATCAATAGACCGGCTGGATGCAAGTCAGCGCTCACAGTTGCAGTATTTGCTGGTAAAACAGGCCTCGGCCAGTTCCTTAGGGCGACAGAGCAGTATTAAATCGCTCAAACGATTCGCTGCTAATGTTTACAAAACGGACAATGTGCTGAGCAAGTGCAGCAACGCCTTCGAACTGGCCCATCAGCTGTACGCCATCGAGTATGCGTACCTCTCGCAGATACGTCTAGAGGAGTTTATCGAACTGATTGACACCGGAGTCTTTAAGACTTGCATGTCGCAAACCAAGGCAAGTACACTAGGCTCCAGCTGCACCTCCGCAAAGCAACCCGAGGTGAGCATCGCAGCCTATGTGCAGTGGTTCAACCAACTCTGCAATTTGACTGCCACGGAAATACTTAAGGTGAGTGTGTCGAGTATCACAAGCCCAATCTTCTATATTAACATAGCCCCGGTCACATCAAAAGGCTGGCAAAAAGTCTCAGCGCGTGCAGATGGTTGAGTTCTGGATTGAAACCGCTTTGGAATGCTTCAACACGGGCAACTTTAACAGTCTGATGGCTATATTGACGGCTCTCAATATGACTGCCATATCGCGACTCAAAAAAACGGTAAGGCTAACTTTGAAACTTTTCAATTTGTTAATAAACTATTTCTCTTGCAGTGGTCAAAGGTGCAGACAACCAAATTCGAGGGCTTGGAACATCAAATGGATCCCAGCTCCAATTTTCATAATTACCGTTCGACCATGAAAGCTGCCATTTGGCGCTCCGAACGCGAAGCGGCTAATAAAATCGAGCGTGCCATTATACCGTTTTTCTCGCTCTTTCTAAAGGATTTCTACGCCATTCACGAGACTCACAATACCCGGCAAGCATCTTACCAACAATTTATTGTTATTTAATTCTAAATAATAATTCTTTTTAGACTCGCCAACGGATCCTTCAACTTTGAGAAGTGCACAATTCTTGGCACACAGCTGCGCAACTTCTATAAATGCCAACAGCTGGATTGTCCGTATGAGCAGCTATCCCACGTTGTGGCCTATTTGCAGAAGGCGGAAGTTTTCGACGAGGAGGTTCTTATAAAAACTTCCTATGAATGCGAGTCGCCGACTGGCGCCGGAGAGAAAGATCACTATAAAGCGCTAAAAGCAGCTAAATAATCGAACACATTAATTTGAATATATACAATAAGACGATAATTTTTGGCGATAATCGAATCTAGCCTCGCACAAACTTCCATTGAGTTTGTACACGATTTTTTGTTGATACTTCCATGTTTACATTTGCATTTGCATCGCAATGACGATAATAACTTTACACTAAAATCGCAATCGTATTTGTTAATTTGTACTTAAGTCTGTAGCGTACATACATACATATTCAACTGATCATAAGCAATTGGTTGGCATGTAATTTGCAGCTCCAATAAATTTACATACAGTCTAACCATTTTTTATCCCATTTTTCGGGACTTGAAATATCCCTTTTTATTAAAGTAGGGAAATAATCCAAGAGAATAAATTTACATGCAATCTAAAACAGTTATTTTATGCCTAAAGGCAGTTTTACGGATTACAATTATCCCTTTTTATCGAAGTACGGAAATAATCCAAGATAAATAACATATAATCTAAAACAGTTATTTTATGCCTAAAGGCAGTTTTCGGGACTTTATCCCTTTTTATTAAAGTAGGGAAATAATCCAAGGGAATTCAAGAATTCGAAATATAATTACATACAAAAACTACTGTAAAGATTATTTTAAGTCTCTGAGTATTGTTTTTTTTTTATTAACGTATGGTAGCAAACTTTTGAAAGTCAACCGTTCCGAACTTGCCGAACAGCTCCAGGGGATAGTGCTTGCCCTCGCCTCCGCAGGGGGCGTGGACTCGAATCTGGCGCATGTGAGTGTCGCGGCCATTTTGATGATTGGAAATGACGGCGATTTGCAGCATAAAGGTGCGCAGCGACTTGACGTTGCCATCCTTAATGGGTATTTGCACCCAGCCATTGGGTTCGGTCAGATCGATGACTTGAAGCTCCTGCAGATCATTGAAATTGGTGCCGGAGCGTATGGAGATCCGCGATGGCGTATAGCTCTCGTCCAACTTGTAGTCGGTATATATGTAGATCTGGCTGATGTTGGTGCGCTTATGGAATTGTATATTGACCAGGTGCGGCAGTTGGCCGTCGGATTGCCAGTAAGTGTCCATTATGTTGTCCCGCAAACGTTCGACGCCAAAGCCTGTTCAGTGGGAGTTTTGTTTGAGTGGAGCTCTTGTTTGGCTTTCTCTGCGAGATCCTACCTGGTTTGCAGGAGGACAAGCTCCAAACAGCCTGCGAGCCTACTTCACGCACATAGCCCAGTCGCTCTTCCGCAAGTGGATCTTCTTCGCTAGTAACAGCTGGCTTGGCTGTGGACTCTTCATCTATAGTAGCCGCCATATTTCAAGCCGAATAATTTAACATAAGTAAACAATATCGCAAAAATAATATTCAACTATTTATGCTTGACATTTTCTCAGCCAGTTCTTTTTGTTTCAGTTTCCAACACTGACCGGCAAAACAAACACAGCTGTGAACAATCGCAGTCAACAAACGGCTCGCAAGCGTTTTCCAACACTCGCACAACAACGCACATGTGCTCTGCCGTGCAGCATAAGGAAAACAAACTTAATTATGGTGCGTAAACTGAAATATCATGAGCAAAAGTTGCTCAAGAAGGTAGATTTCATCACATGGAAAGTCGACAACAGCAGCAAAGAGAACAAAATCCTACGCCGTTACCACATACAAAAGCGCGAGGACTACACAAAGTTTGTATCCAGCACAGCGATGCCTGCATAAAATTGATATTAAAATGGCAATTTCTTTTCTAAACAGGTATAACAAATTGTCGCGCGAAGTTAGAGAACTCTGTGAGAAAATAGCAAGACTCGATGGAACAGATCCCTTCAAGGGCGAGGCAACGGCCATGCTTATGAACAAACTGCATGCGCTGGGTGTTGCCAACGATCATATCACCTTGGAGACCGCCAGCAAAATGTCGGCCAGCAACTTTTGTCGTCGCCGCTTGCCCGTGGTGATGGTCAGACGTGAGTACTGTTTCCGTTTTATACGAATGCTTGATTTCAACTTATCAATAATGTTCTTTCAGTGAGAATGTCGGAGAGTCTTAAGCATGCCACCGATCTCGTAGAGCAGGGCCATGTTCGTGTGGGTCCAGAAATGGTTAAGGATCCAGCCTTTCTAGTATCCCGCAACTTGGAAGATTTTGTCACCTGGGTAGATGGCTCCAAAATTAAAGAGCACGTACTTCGCTACAATGACATGCGCGATGATTTCCAAATGTAGACGACGATTCTGTTTCAAGTATTTTTTAAGCAAACTAAATATATGGATGTTCATATTTGTACAGCAAGGGGGTTTGCTTCCTCCATTAAGATTCATTATAAAATCCTTTTATTTCTTCATTTTATGATTTGTGTGCACCTATTGAAATGTAGGTGCAATATCTGCCCACTTGTGATTGATCTCTTAAACATTTGAAAGCTCTAACATAAAACTGAATTGGGCTAGGCTATCGAGAAAACCTGGATTTCCGATCACACAGATGGCCATTACTAAAAAGGCTTGGGCATAATATTATGGAACCGAGGATGCTTTCTTCCGCCAGGTATATAAATTCGCATAAGCCCAGTATTTCATTTTCCATGGGCTCAGTCAAGTAAAAAGAAAAACATTTTTGGCCGTAATTTGTTAAATTATCATTTTTAATAACTTTATTACATTTCATATAATAATGTTTAGATCGCATTAATATAATTCATTATATTGGGGCCTTTCACGCCAAGGGCGCAACAGCGCCCGACACTGATAAATACATATATAGTACATAGATATATAAACTTGTTTATCAATCAACCCTCGTATTCTGTCCATGCTACATGCCCGAGGCCGCATAAAATCCTTCTAATTATGGCGGTACACAGCATATGCCTTATTAGTTTCTTCACTTAAATAGTTAATTAGTTCAATTATCGATAAAAAAAAAATTATAAAAAGAGCCTTTCGATAATATTAAAAAGAAATACAACAAAACCAAATCAAATCATAATTAAGAAACGAGTGTAAAAAACTTTGCTTTTTATTAATGTTTGCAAATGTCAATAAAAAAACAGGATGAGTGTCTTTAGGGACTAAGGTGCACGGTTGAGCGGTCTAAATAGTGTAGGGTTTTTTTTTAAACAGAGGCTAGACAATAATTTCTATAGTTATGTTGATGGCAGTTATACACTAACAATTTGAAATATCCTCTCTTACAGGGCCCGACCGCTGCGGACAAGGGCGTGAAAAGCCAATCCAAAAGATATTTAAAATACATTTAAGAAACGACTTAAATAGAGACTTTGAAGATAATCGATTTGTTTAATACAATTCACGAATTTTAGAGACCGACTGCATTGCCATTGGAGCATTTGACTTTTGTAATGAAATACATAACTGTGTGCATTTATTTATGTAAATTAAACACGATTAGCATTTCCATTGAGTTTGTACAACAAAGACAGCTTAAGGTGTCAGCCAGGTTAAGTCTTTTTTTGTTTTTTTCATTTTGTTGCATAGCTATATGTATGTATTGTAGGTATCCTTTAAATATTAGTTGTATTATTCCTTTTTAAATTTGCATAAGAAAGTAAATATTAATAAGTCTTAAAATAAATAGCTAGTGGCGTTAAAATTAGTGTCGACTGGCGAAATTGTTCAGAGCCCTTGACAGGGGCAAGATAAAAGCCCGCATTTGCCAAAGGGCAACAAAAGTTTCGCATAAAAAACTTCATAACAATTTAAAACAAATTAATAAAATAAAGAGTTTCTACAATATCTGTGTTGTTCATAATCTTCAAATTTTCTGCTCATGTGTGTGTGTGTGTGTGTGTGTATTTGTTGTGTGCTTGTGTGTTCTCTGTATGTGATAAAAAAAAACTTTAAATTATCCGCTGGATTTTATTTTGGCTTTTGTATCGGGAGTTTTCCTATTGAATTTTTTTCTTGCTTTTATGCTGTATACATTAAAATGAAATATTTTTATCGCATTGTATTAATAAATACAATATTTTAGTAAATTCCAATTTGTTGCTGTCGCTCAAACATGTGCAATTAGTTATTAAGCCATAATATGCCGTACCCTGCCCCAGAGTCCCGAGCCCAAAACCCAAGCACTGCAATCGCTCGGTGCCGTAGTAAAAACTTTGAATTCTGTTTGCTTTCGCAGTTGATTTAAGTTGAGGAGGTTGCCGAATAGTTAGCCATGGGCCAAGTTGCTCCACACACTCGGCTTAAATCACAAGCGCCATGTCCTTTTTGCTGGGCAACTGCACCCGCTTGCCCTGCCACAGTGAGTTGTGTATTGTGAAGGCGTCTATCGTGACGGTCAGATGCTTTGTGTGCACCTGTGAGAAGCATTTCCCACCTGAGTTGTATCTGAAGAAGGGCAAACCAATTAGCGTCTCGCTCAAAATACCCATACGTATATATATACACAACTAGCCAAGACTCACTTGAAGAATTTATCGAACATGACTTCGTCGACTTGACTAGGTCCCGTGCCGTACAGCTTCGTCACTTGATCCGTCTCCGGCATGTAACTGTAGAGGGCGCGGAATTGGCAGCCCGCATCCCGGAAGAGTACGAGGAAGTGTTTGGCCTCCGAGCGTGCGATCTTCTCGAGCACTTTCTGTTTGGCTTCACGGTTAACGGCGCCGGGAAAAACGCAGTACTCAACGGCATTTAGTATAATGCCGCGATTTGATTTGGCCGCTGGTTGTTTGTACAATTTTGGACCTGTGTGGATCAACAAAGCATATCAGTAACGCGCAACTACAAATGCAACAGTAATTTACGTGGTTTTCTACTCGGTGTTAATGGCAAGCTTCTCATTAAAAAAATAAGAAAAACTTCTACAATTATTTGCTTCTTATGCAGGCAACGTGCGAGCTGATTATACAAAACATTAACTCATATTTAAACTGGGCCATCAGATCATACTCTGGATTACTTTTATTGAGCTCATAGAACTACGATCTGAGGACCTGAAGCAGTCGTGGGTTCTTCACAGCGTAAAATATATTAACTATATTACGCTATGAACGATCCTTCTAAAAGTTTTGTACTTACATTTGAACTAGCTATTCTAATTGGTAACAAAATGTGAAACATTCCAAAAATAAAATAAATATTACAAATATGCAACAAAATCATATAAATCTTAAAATATTAATTGCTTGCATTTTTGCCTTTGTTATCAATAATTTTTAATAATCGTTTTGTTTTTTTAGTTTGCAAATGTGAATCGGTTAATTGGGCCAATCGGGATTATATTGGATTTTTTGATTTGTGGCATTATTTAATACTAAAGACACAACTCGGTTTGACTATCGAAATCGTGGATTTGACGACGCAACGGAAGAACGAATGGAATTGTAGGACTTGCATCCGGAAACGCGCGCACATTAAATTTGTGACAGTCCCTAGGGCACAAGTATACGGCGTATATTTGTATACGGAAAACTGAATTGTATATGTAGTAGATGTCATAAAATCAAAAATGTATGTTGTTGATCAAAAGAAGAAGAATACCAATTGGTATGATTTCAACAGAACTGAACAATGAATTGAACTAAAAAACTAAGAAAAATCAATGAATAAGTGAATATTCTATGAGGCGTTTCAAAGATGTACAAATGATGTATGAAGAACCAATATGTATGGTGTATGTACGATTATGATGGTTGTTTTTGAGTGGATGTATAACTGAGAATTCTTTGAGACTAAGTACAAACCCGAGTATTCCATGATTAAAGACGTATCGCTTGATCCATCATCAAATCCGCGACGCTTCGATATCAAACCTGGCGGCAAAGAGCCTGGTCCAGAGGGAGATGGCATATGCCTACCTGATGCCGCCATTCCTGGTGACGGTGCTCGCCGCGGCGGAGTGGCACGTCCCAGTCCCGAATCTGTGTCTAACCGGTAAGCGAGCAGATCGAGCGTTCATCAATCATCAGTCAGGCATGCATTGATGCACAAAACATAGCCACGCCGCAAGCACCAACAACCACAGCCATAGAGACAGAGGGGTGGAGAGAGAGATAGAGAGAGCGGGGCAACAGTTTCAGAGTTGCCATCCATGCAGTAAATTCATTCGGTTGATGCATTTCGATTTTGTTATTGATTTGGTTATTCGCCACAGGATGATGTCGATGGAAGCGATCGAGCGATGAATGTTAAGGCATTGTTCGATTGAGTTAATAGATATTTAGTTTCGTTTTTCATTCACATTTCATTTGTTGTTAATTCAATCAAGAGTTCGGGTTTTGTACACAAGTTTTTTTTTTTTTTTGAATTGAAAGAAACGAGAAATAAAAGAGAATGTGTGCATTCAATTTAGTTAAACAATTTTGTAGATCGTTCAATGTAGTATATACACTTAAGGCCTAAATATGATCTGTCTGAGTGTGCTTGAGTGCTTGAGTGTGTGTTTATGTATGTGTGCGGGTGTATCTGTGTGTTGATGTGCAGGCGTGTTTGGGTGCGTGTGAGTTAATTCACAATTTCGGGAGAATACAAAATGACAACCCTGTTCCCCAAAAAGCGGGCAGTACAAGTCGAAAGCAAACCAGAACCACTTGCGAATTATAAAACGTTTGCAACCGGCAACTGGCTGTTGTCACAGTAAACAAATATAGAAATAGAAAAATGCCGCCACCGCTTTCTTTTTCCAGTCATAGAAAAACAAATTATTCAGCAAACTAAATCAAATTACAAACTTCCAAAAACATAAAAAAAACGTATGAAAATTTATAAGTATATATCAAAATTTAAAAAAAAGGTAAAGGAACTTTATGAATTCAAAATATACGATCAGAAAACTAAATACTTGTCGAATGAGTAATGCAGGTCCAAAGGAAATACTTCAAAGACTAAAAATAATATTATACTAATATCAGGATTTACAGCTTGTTACTCGAGGAATTTGTCTTTAATCCTGCATTACTCTCAATCAGTAAACCAAAAACCAAAAAGTAAAAAGAATACAAATTAAATATCGTGTTTTAAAACAATGAAATGATACACAAGAAGTACAGATGAAAATTTAGCTATCACCTGCAATCGACGATTGCTCAGAAAAGAAAAAGAAAGAGTCAATCAGACTAATTAATAGTGAAGGACATATAAAAAAAGAAAAGAACTGCCACCAAAAAGTAAAAGTATATTTATGATTTAAGCTACAACACAAATTAAATATGAAATAGCAAGAGATAAAGTTAGGTAGAAATAGAGTAAAAGTAAAAGGCAAGCAGCTGTTTTTTAAATATTTTGTTTTTTTTTTTTTTTTTTTTGTAGCTGTGAAACGCTTCTTACCGCACAAATTCATTAGCGAATTGGATTTTCGGCCACGGAAATTAAGCGTGCTCCCCTTAGCAACTGATATACGCGACAGGGTGCGGCCCCTTTCGACGGCTGGCTCTGTAAAAAGTGGCACCACGGAGGCACGGGGAGAGCCGAGTGCATAATACGAATATGGATCAAGTTCAGTTTTCTTACAGTTTATCACAACACAAAATATGAGAATGCAATTGGTAAACTAAACTTAAGCGACTTGTCAATTTTGACCTCTGACCCAAACCAAAAGTGTTCAAAATAAATAAAAAAAATATCAATTAATATATCCAGAAAAACCCTTCTGTCACCCACAGCGATCTTCAAGGCAGGCTGTGTGAATTTTCCCCAGTGCATATGCGGGTTAGTTGTTTTTCTATTTTTTTAACTTGCTTTTGGTGTGTTAAATAATGTGTGTTTAGTAGTTGGGGTAATTTAGCGTAAGCTAGCGCCTTAACTGATAATAGATAAAGTAAAAGAATGTTTTTTAAAAAAAATCAGTTGTTAATCAGCGTCTAGGGACTAGGCACACAAGTCCAAGCCAGCATATATGTAGTTTTGTTTTTTTTTTCTTATGGATATTTCGCTGTTGTTAACAATAACTAACCAACAAAAGCAAGAGTAGAAAAACAAAAGAAAAATGAAAATATCTTAGTACTTGTTACCCAGCACCAACCTCTGGAAGTTTTGTATGATCCCCGTCGTCCAATCGGAGTTGAACTTGTGCTGGGATAATCATCGGGGGACTCTGTTGAACGAGATTAGTAGTTATGGCTTAACATAATTATATTCTTGACCCAAATGATTGTGTTATAATAAACTACATTAGCTGAAGTGCTTGGAAATCAAAATGATATATCAAATCATACCCACACAATGCCCCTAAACTAAACTAAAATAAATAATAAAAAGCAAACACTATATCAAATCATAAAAGCAATTAAAGTAGAGCATGCTCTTATCATAACCAAATAAAAGACATAAACAATGAAATCGTTTAAAGAAAAACAAGAGAAATAAACATAAATTACCTTTAACTGTAAGGGAGTCTTGCGAGCCCCTATAAAAGTCTCTTTTCATTGAATTGGAGCTTAGTTGACCGTAGCCTGTACAATTTATGGGACAACCAAGTTAAAACGAAACGAAAACATAAATTAACAAATTGGCAAAACATAAAATTTCTAAAATAAAACGTCAAAAATTAAACAAATAAACACAACAAAGTTTTGCAATTTCGACATGCCGAAATTAACACACATACAAACAATATACACACATTTTACTAGGATTCACGGTAAAAAATAAATACTACAAATAGGATTCGAAGCAGACAAGAGCACGGCTCAGATATCAAACCGACAGATGTAGAAAGAATAACCATTATTCTCAACAAGAATATATTGTATACATATAAGTCCGAATGGAAAGTGTTTGAAATCCGGACAAGGATATTTCATGTAGGGTTCGAAGAATCCTTCCCCTCCACAAACGGCTGTGAATACTGTTGTTGTGTGCCCAATTTTGGAAAATGTGCTGGAGTTTAACGGAACGCTCACCGGTTAGGTTTGAACTTGAGCCTTTTTTGCCCCGACTGGATAGGCTTGAAGCCTCACTAATGTCCACACTGGCGTCGTCGACGTGGATCGTTTTGGGCCGTGGCCTAGTCACACGTTGCTGTCTAAGACGCGGCGTGGACGCGTTTGAAGACTGTGGCTGCAGTTTTACATGTAAATCGGGCCGGTCCAGAGTTTTACCCTGCAAGAAAGTGGATCAGCTATTAGTACTTGTACACCAGGAAATTTCGAGATTAGTTCCGACTTACTTCTCGCTCGGCTTCCTCGATGGCTTTTTTTAGTCTATGTTGTTCCAATATGGCCGCACGTCGCGCCACCTGTTCCTCCTTTTTGCGCGCGCGCTCTTCCTCCTTTTCTCGTTCCTTTTCTCGTTTTTGGGATGCCTCTATCTCCTTTCGCGCCTTGGCCTCCTCTTGCTGCTGTCGGCGTTGCAGGGAAAGCAACATTATCTTCTCTTTGCGACGTTCCATTTCGTCCACAGATTCCTGGAAACGAAGATAAACAATAAGTAAAATGTGAAAAATTATCTTGCGGAAATAAAAAATACCCCCAGCCTAATTGGTTCGGACAACATAACAAATATAAAAGATACACTTAAGTGGTCAATTTTTAAAAAATATAACAGAGTTTTAGAAAATAAATAAATCAAAATGTAAACCAAACACGGGGCACTACGCTATACTTTTCTGAGCCTACTAAGCTATTCGTCTTTACAAACTGATCCTACAGTTTGGATTTAACAAATCGACGAACTTAAAGCGAGTCGTTGGTTCCATTCTCAACAAAGATACTGTTCCATATTCATCTTAATATGGGAACATCCTGATTCGTTGCAGACATTCAACAATATTGTATACCCCTTCAATCTCTACCCACTACGATTTTGTAAAAGTGTGCATTCTTACCGGATCTAGATTGGTCGCATCGACGCCAATGACCAGCGCTTTTTTCTTGGCCGCCTCGGCGCTGCTGCTGCTATGTTCGGCCCTTAATCGAGATGGCGAGAGCGGCTGTTGCTGCTGCTGCTGCTGCGGCTGATTGGTGAGGTCCTCGAGATGCCGGCGCTCGTGGACATTGGGTTCGGCCGCCGATGCTGTTATTTGGCGCAGCTGGATAGGCGGCTCGTCTGTGTATTTGTTGTAGGTTGCGTTGCCGGCTGGATTGGCATTGGCATTGGCTTGGACGCCGGGGAAGTTGTGGATGCTGTGCCTGGCAGCAGTTGCGTTTTTGGCCTCCTCGCTGGCAAAATTGTTGCTGTTGTGCAGTTGACTTAGCGATTCACGTTTAAGGACAACTTGGTTGTCCACATTATCCCTGCTGGGCTCCTTTTTGGGTGACTTCTTGGCGCGCAGTGGCGGCTTCGGTCGCTTCGGCTGATCGTTGTCGAAGGATATATAGAAGCCCTTTTCGGGCCGCTGCTCCTCGCCGCTACCACTACCGTTTCCGTTTCCGTTGCCGCCCCCTCCACGTGGATCCTGAAAGCTGTTGGCCTGTATGGCGGGGCGCGAGGGCGAGGGAATGCGGTAAGTGAGATTGCCGCTGGTGATGTTAAGTTTATTGGAAATCAGCTCGCCGCTGTCGTAATCCTCAGAGCTGCTGCCGCGTCCGCTGTGCGCCGTCGGCAGCTGCTGCTGCTGCTGCTGTTGCTGTTGCTGCTGATGATGATGAAGGCGTTGCTGCTGCTGCACCACAAAATCGGAAATCCGAGTCGATTGCATAGACTCGATAATGTTGCGCTCTAGCTCATCAACATCTTCCTCGTCGCCGATGAAGCAAATACTTTGCGGCGCCATCATGTCCTCGTGCTGTCCCATTCCCATGGGCTGGCCCATGTTGCCCTTGGGTGACCGATTGTCACGTAGATTCGTCAGCGATTGCTGCCGCTGTACGCCGTTGGCGCTGCCACTGCCACCCCCGCCATGTATCCGCTGACCGTGTTGTGGGGAAGACTGCACCTGGAATAGATGCTGCAATTCACCGCCGCCGCCGCCTCCGTTTTGGTGCAGCACAAAGCCCTGAGACGTGCCAGCGCTGGAGGGCGGCCGATTAGGCCAGTTTTGCTGCTGCTGCTGTTGCTGCATCTTCTTCTGTATTTGCCAGGCATTGACATCCAACAGTGGTTGCTGCTGCTGCTGTTGCTGTGCCTGTTGCTGCTGTTCGTACGCTGCCGCTGCCGCCGAGTGCGCCCAGGTGCGACGCTGTGGATGCGGTTGAGGCGGAGACTCGTGCAGGTAAAAGTGATTTGCCGGCTGGCCGTACTCATCGTAAACGCTGTTGCGTTGCTGGTGCTGTTGCTGGTACTGCGGCATCGGAGGTGCTCCGTAGGGGGAGTGGTTGTTGTAAGGGGCGCCATTGTCGCTGTAGATGCTTTGAGGCTGCATGTAGTGAGCGGGCGGCGACATGTACTGTCCGTGCTCGTTGACGTACTGCATGGGTGGCATCTGCATGGGTTGCTGTTGGTGTGAATGGTGCTGCTGCTGCTGCTGTTGGTAGGGATCGCGGCTTGGCGGACGGGAATTGTAGGCGCTGACTGGCGCATTAAAAGCCTGCGGAAGATGCGGTGATGAGCCAAAACTTTGCTGCATAGGTCGCTGCTGGTAATGGTGCTCAGCCAGATGCTGCTGCGAGCCATACGTTTGCTGCTGTGGATGCGGTTAGCGGGGAGGAAGCACAAAATACATTCATATGGTTAGTCGAACGAACGGGCAAACAAACGATATATATATATAAACAATATAACAAGGCACAAAAAGGAACAAACCGAAAAGTGTTTCTGTTAATTTGGCAATTGGGTGAGATGCAGGGTGCGCTTCGTAGGGGGCTGGCTTACCTGATTCAGCATGTTGGCTATTTGTTGTGCCTGCATCAGCTGCTGCGCTTGCAGATGCTGTGCCTGCATTTGGCTTTGCTGCGTGGCCAGCCGATGGATATCCTGTTGGATATCCTGCAGATTCATGTTCATAATGGCGATGCTTTGCTGTTTTCGTTTTCCACACATCCATGACCAATGTTAGGTGTGTTAATGTATTTGCACGCGTGTGTGTGTGTGTGTGTGGTGTTTGTGTGTGAGAGAGTGTAGTGTATACAATTGTTATGTTTATGTCGAAGCAACCACGAACATAGAATAAACGCAATGGAGGGAGGAGTATAAAACGAGAGAGACAAGCGAATTAACATTTATCCGGTGGGTTAGAACAAGCTGGGAATGGACACACTGAAAGGCAAGTTTTGATGCAACTGAACTCACTTGGTATTTGTCCATGTCAGCTGGATCTATTTCCGGCGTACGCTTCGACTCGTTGCTCATGGTCTCCCACTTTAAGACGTCGGGACACGATTCCAAGTCCTCCTGAAATCGACAACAACATCAATTAATAAAAATAATGAATTTCCCTTGAAGACACATTAAACTCTATGGCTGCCGGGTTCTAACGACATTTTAATGTAAGATTAGTTTTGCTCATTCTTGCTGCTTGATTAATTTGCCATAACTTTCCAATTAACGATTCGGAGCTATCCGGAATATATATATTATATTTGACTAGACCAGCATTCAACTCTTCCAATTCAGACTTCACATTTTATAAAGGGACTTAGGTAAAATAGTTTATTTAAAGCTTTTACAACCTGGCAAACCTTCTCCTGATGCCGCAGCACTGCCATTTCGATTTTGCGCTTATCCTGCTCAATGCGGCGACGTCTCTCCTCCAGTTTCATCCGCATCGTAGATAACTTGGTGGCATTCTCCAGCGAGCGTAAATCATCGTCACAGGTGTCCAGCTGCCAAGCCGCCGGACTCGCTGGCATGCTGCTGGTTGAGGATTTACGCACGGGCGTGCTTTCTGGATCATACCCAGTCGATCTGGCGTCATTATAGTGGTCGACTGTCGAGTAGTCCCTATCGATGGAATGTTGCTTGTTCCGCGCCGGCAACGGACTGCCCGCATTTGACAGATTATGCGCAGAGGCCGTTGGCACATTGTCCGCACTGCTAGCAAATGATTTAATACAACAGAAGTTATTCGACTGCAAAACGGAGGCAAGTCTGGTGATGATTGGGGAACCCACCTAGCCTGTCGACGCATAGAATACTTTTCGGTTTCGCGATCCTGTTTCTCAGATCCCGAATCCGTGTCGTAGCCCAGCTGTAGCGTGCCACGAGCATCAGCAATTGAAGAACGCACTGCCACGGCCGGTTCTGCAAATAAAAAGGCAATTTATGAAGGAGGAATCAAGGAACATTCTTTTACTTTTTGTACTTACCCACACTTGTATTGGACAGCTTACGTTCTCTGTCCCGTTCGCGCTCGTAGCGGCCCAGCGTATTGAGCTGATCCTGTGAGCCGCCAAAGTTCTCAATAGTCAACTGCGAGTCTTCGCTGGAGGAGTTTCGTCGCGAGCGACGACCTGAAACATCATAGTTCATAATTAGTTTTTCAAATAGTTTCAGCACGCAGGAGGATCAAACGGAGAGCGGGAAAATGCTTAAGTAGGGACAACAAAATCTTATATACATTCATCACACACACACGCACGGGAATTCAAACAGCGACTGGTGAGATTTGTAGCATACCTGCGAAACTTGGACGCCGGCTCTGTTCCCAGTTACTTGGTCGGCCCGCAGCGACAAAATCGCCTGTTTCGATTGTTAATTCAAGAGCAAAATTAATTTTTTAAAATAAGGTAAATAAGTAAACTATACACACAAATAAATATAAATGATATTTAACAAAAATGAACATAAGAATGAAAATGAAATAAAAACATAAACAAATGGTTTTGTGTTGAACAAACAGAATAATTTAAGTTTAATTTAACTCATGAATTGATTTAAGCAAATCTCTCATCTTGATTGAGCAACTTTCTTCTGGGGTTATGAAAATTGTATCTAGATAAGAATCTACTTTTGATAGAGGCTAACTAAAATATTTTCTGAGCCCGGATTAACTGTAGCAGAAGGTTGCACTTTACAAAATTGAAAGTTAATTTATACTCTCTGTGGGCTCTGTCAGGGGTAGATTGACTCGACTCTACTGGTTAGAAAATATAGTTAATGAATAGAATTAATGTTATCAGTCGAAGTTTCTTCAGTTAGCTTATTGCTTATCTAAAAACTTTTCTCTTGCATCTCTGACTCCGTGTGAAGATTAAGAGTTAAGACTGAATAATTCCTATTATCCTACATTGTGATCTCTTATTATAATGTGAAGATCATGCGGTCTCGACGTAGAATAAATAGAAACAATTCCAAGTGCTACAAGCAAAACCGCATAATTATGCAGGTGGCTACACTCTGTAGCTTAATAAACGCAACTGTGGGATCGGACACGCGAGAGGAGAAGCAAAATAAATGAAATATGAGTTAAAAGACTGGCAAACCTCTCTCGTCTGCTTTCGACTCGACATTGTTCTTTTCTTTTGCCTGACGCAAGCGAGCTGGAACCAAGGGCTCCTGCTGTGACTGTTGCTGGTGCTGATACTGCTGCTGCTGTTGCTGTTGCTGCTGCTGCTGCGAGTGCATGGATGAGAGTGTGGTAATGCCACGCGACTTGTGCACGACGAACGCTGACACATGCGAATCGAGTAGGGAGGCGGCGGTAGCGGTGACGCAAGTGATGGCAGCGTTGAGGTGCGCGTGGGCGTGGGCGTGGATGTGGGAGATTCAGTTAGGCGGAAAGGCGCATTTGTTGTTGTTGTATTTGCATTGGTGATTGGATGTTGGCAGTATTAAAGCATGTGTGGGTAGTTCGGTGGTTCGGTGGAGAAAAGAAAGAAACAAAAAACGTAAATTGAATTAAAAATAAACAAATACATTTTTCAGAAAAGCGTATATCTGTGCAAGGGCTTGCAAATGAACATCAACTCAAATTCAAGTAACTCAATTATAAATAACTTAAATAGAAGTTAAGTTAATTACCTTCGGCCTGGTTGCCATCAAAATTATTTGACTGCATCGTTTGATATTCGGTGGGCGGAGTTGACCTGCGATTTAAGGCGCCGCCGCTGAATGAATTTGTGTGCGGAACTAAAAATAAAAATGGAAATTCACCAAAAAAAACCAACAAATAAATTCAGTCCCATAATAAAACATAAGTCATAAAATATACATCCAAAAATTAACATTGGTACGCTTCATAATAGCAAAAGCAAATATACATAAAAACAGAGAGTGGAGTCGCAATCCGTTGTGGTTGTTGCTGATTACAAATATTGTGTACAACTTTTCCTAAACTAAGCATTTACCAAAAATAAAAGAAATGACTAAACATGGGCCTTTTCAGTAAGAATAGAAGCCTTTACTCTCTCCAATATGAAAAATAGATAAAAGGAGTAAGATGTGGAAATTTATGCAGATGGAAACAGAAAAAAACTATATATATATATAAGGAATATGTCACCTTTTTAATACTGCCCCCGTCTCCGAAATGAAAGAACTCATTTTAAAAGCTAGAGCATTAGGATTTCGTATATACACTTTTTTGTTTTATGTTATGCATGCCTACATATTTTCATAAATATCGGACAAGAATATAATAAGTTATTCAAAATCTTATTGACTCTTACTCTGACTCTATGGCTACATTTGTGTTCTGCACAGGGTACAGGGAGTTTTATAGCCGAGCACACTCGACCACAGCGTTCTTACTTGTCAAGACTGGCTACGCCTCCTTTTATCTTTATCTAAGTAAATGTAATCAAAATAAGAGCCTGGCACCCAATACTTCTTTTCAGCTTTAGATTAGTTTTGTTTTTTGTTTATCAGTTAGTCAAAGTCAGAGGGTGCAGTACATAAAGTGCTTCAGGATGTTTTAAAAAACATATCTCATTCAAATAAACACGACTGTGCACAGTAGAAACCCTGTTTGCGATGAGTGCAGCGATGCTTTTTGGCAGAGTGCATTTCGATTCATTGTGATCATAATTAGTTAACTTTTGCTACAGTGGTTGAGTATTAGTTTGTAATTGCAAGAACAAAGCGGCGACAAAGTGGGCTTGGGGAATTATCTTCAGAAACGGAATATGGTCAAAACAAGCAAACGAACGAACAAACAATTAAACAATCAACAAACAATGAAAATGCAAAACATTCACGTTAAGAAACGAGGCAACAAACAAATGGAATTGAATGGGGGGGAGGGCACACACAAAAAACACAGACAGATATGCATCTGAAGGGTCTGGGACCCTCAGATAAATTGCAATAGAGAAGAAGTAAACCTTGAAACGGCGGCCGATTCGAGGGTGACCCAATGGGCGGCTGGTCAAGATCGCTGCGCAAATCGGGTATGGGCGTAACGGGCTGCATTGTGAGGCCCCGTCGATGGCAGATTCCGTGCACATTGGCGCCCTGGCTGCGCCTTGTGATGACATCTACGTCAGGCGTGAATCGATCAAAAGATACAAATTGTTGTGGATTGTTGTCGTTGTTAATAATATTGTTGTCGTTGTTGTTGTGGTTGTTGTTGTAGTTGCATTTGTGTGTTTGTGTTGAATAAAGAGAGTATTAACACCCGTTCAGTTGGTGATTTGTGGTTTGCACAAGCGTTTGCACATAAACAAAGAAAGAGAATCAAGTATAAAATTGTTTTGATTTGAATTGAATTCAGTTTATTAAGTTATCAACTTTATATTGCTTCCAAGATGGTTCAGGTGCGGGATGACGGCAGCCGGATAAATGAACAAAATTAAATGATTGTGGTGCATGATTGGGCGCCAATTTCTCAACGGTGATTCATAATTTCTGTGACGGAGAAGGGCAGAGGCAACCGCAGTAAGTCACTGCAATTTTCTATTGCTTTCCTTGCTCGGGTTTACTTGGATTTAAAGGTGCCAACAACGGGTTAGTGTTTCAATTGATCAACCTTAAACTGCCTACAACTACCATTACTAAGTGAATTTGCTCTAATACAATTTATTGTCGGTTAAGTAATTGTAACATGTGCCATTGGCAGCGAGATTATTGTGAAATTCTATTTTATCCGATTTAAAACATTATGTGGAATTGCGATACGTGAATCTCAATAGTTGTTGTGTTTCGCAGTTGTATCAGCTATCTGAGCCTGGCCCTATACAAAAATATGTTTTTGTTTAAATTATTCGAAAGCTCAAAAGAATCCCATTACTCATTATTCCGGCCCAAGGGTTACTGACACTAATGGATATATTGGAAAATTAAAAGTTAGTTCAAATTGTTCTAAGAAAATCCTATATTTAATAAGGCAGCCAAATGAAAATGCAGCCGAACAAACGAAAAGAAAGCGAAAAATGCAAAGCAAATCAAAGGCGAAATATGCTTGTGAACGAGAAGTCACAGGACAACAATGACAACGACGACGACGACGACGACAAATAATATACATGCCCCGGATGGAAACACACAAAGGCCAAAGGGTTTTGGGTACTTGGTGGGCCAATAGGTTAGTTGGAATGCGATGCGGTGCATAGTTGAATTGAATGTGGACCGTGACTTACCCTGTCCATCCATGCCCGGGTAACAGACACATTTGGCCGGGTGTATCTCGAACAAATTGAACAAATCCGTCAGCAGCAACACCAGATTTAGTTTCATTGAGCTGTCAATATCAATACGGAGTTATGTCATGCTTGTCTCGTGGATTCATCGAGCACTCACCCTCGCATGTATGTTATGTCCTCGGGCGTCATGTGGAAGACGCCGTATGGCAAATGCTTTTGTGAAAAACTGCTCACCAGCAGTATATTGTGTATGGAGTCCTCCACAGCAGGCAGATAGTTAATGCGCACACTCGTCCACGGCACCACCTTGGGGCAGTAGTAGGAGATGAGCAGGGCCAGGCAAATGCCATCGCACAGATCTTGAAAATCACGTACTGGCGGTATGTCCGGCGTCTGCAGACGCGTACCCTGCAACACAACCAAAAATAATGATTAACAATCGAAAAAATGACTGATCCCTAGCGTTATTTTTACAATCTCGTCTGGCACGCTGGTTTCCAGCTCCTTGACGATGCGCTTTTTAAGCGCGGCGCATGCATGCGATATCCAAGCGAGCAGGCCCTGTTCATAGGACTGGCCTGCAGGCGCCTGATAGTTGCTACCAGATATTCTGAAATTTAATTTAAGGAGTTAGCCAAATGATTATCAAAACAAACTCGTGCGCAACTTACCTCCGTATGGCCGCCACGACACGGTCACCCGACGATATTTCCTTCGCATAGAGAACCATCAGCGATTCTATCACAGACATGTGGGCGTTCTGCAAGAATTTGGCTTAAGAATGGTTCACTTAATAATGGAAGCGCTAATTGGAACTTACAATTCGCAACGGATTCGTTTGAATTAATACCGTTTCGGTAATGGGCATGTCCGACGATTCGGCCACGGGTACACCCTTGCGCGCTAGCGTCTGTAATATTGACCAGTGATTTAAGCTTTGGTAGTTGGGGTCGGAGTACAGATTGGACAGTGTCTGGCAATAAAGCGTCGCATTGCCCAACTCCACAACGATTTGAGGCTTGAGGCGTTCCTGGTTCTCGTGATCGCGATAGAACGGCTCCTTCAGGTTGTCCGGCACGCGATTGTTGAACGCTTTCGAGAGCAGCCATTTGACGGAAGCACGTTGACGAGCCTGAAAACCAAGTGCAAAACGTGTTGTCAATTTAACCATCACAAGAGATATATGCTCTATGCTCTAGTCGAGGGTTCCCGAAAAGAACCAGAACCCAACCAAGATCCCATATTAAGCTCTTTATAGCTTCTTTCTAAACGTCTGCTCCACACTACGGCAAATTCTTGGATAACTTTGGTGTCTTTAGACCGATTCCTTTGCAATTTAACTTTATAGATATATTTTCTGAATCGTTATATACTATACGCCATAACTCTCATTATTGCTGAGTTATACTTTCAGAATCGAAGCCCCCAACTCGCTTTCAATTAATGTTTTAGAAATCGGGATAGAGACCTAACAATAATCATAAGCTAGTTCTATGTTAGCTATATTTTAACTCTCCAACTTCTATATTGCCAAGATAAATGGGTTTATACATCCCTGGCAAGCATATATAGGTCCTCCTGTCACAGCCATTTTATGCAAAATTATTCTCGGCGTGACATGTGACAAAATACGTTATAATACTGCGCTGAATATCTTTATTCTCAATAAATATTTGTACGAGTGATAGCTGAGATAACATCTATAAACTAGAGTGATGCCATTCATTGCCTGCAGTACGAAGAAATTGTCTTCATCAATAAGATCAGCCGACTATCTCGGTTGTCATTCCATTTCAATGTTATATATATAGGTTCTTCATTTAACGTTTTACGAGCGAGGCACGCGAGAATTCCTGGCTGAGAAATCTCTGAAACCAATTTCTTATTCAATAGAAACATCCGGCTAGTGGAAAGAAAGGTTTTTAGAGAAAAGCACAAATTCAGCAGCTGGATAGCCAAAGCAAATCTTCCACCAGCGCATTAATAAATGCTGAATTTTAATATTGCAGCAATTAAGTAGTGCACTCTGCAGTTCAGTCTGTGTGCCTGTCAGTGTATCTGTGCCCGTGGTAGCCGCTGCTGCATCTGTGTGAAGCCATGCGTACAATCTTCAATATGAGTTCGATAAACTCGCTGGTGTTTGGCTTGGCGTGCGCCGTTTCTTCATTGTGTCTGTCCGCCTGTCTGTCTGTCTGTTTGGATGGTCACTCAGCATGAACAAGAGGGAATCGCCATGCCCAGACCGAGGCCGAGGCTGAGACCCAGGCCCGTGGCCAAACTGTATTCACTTTTTGCTATTGTAGTTCTTGTTGTTGTTGCGGCTTTTAGAATCTCAAGTGCAGCAATTCCCCGTCAGCCGAGTTATTTCCATTTGCAACTGCATTTTCTACTCATGATTTCGCCACAGTCTCCGCCGCGGCCCATTTTCTTAGAATCAACTTGAGAATTGGCTCTTATTAGTTTCTACAGCTCCTGTTGCTCAATTGCAACTAAGTAAATGGAATCTTATCGGAATGGGCGCAGACATCTGACAGGTTGGATGAGAGAAACGATCAGTTAATTCCCTGCCAAGATAAAAAACAAACAATTTCTAACTGTGATTCAATTTGTCTTATCGCCAAGTGAATCCATTTTGTACAAACATATGTTCAAAATGTTGTATCTTTATGGAATGCGGCTGATAAGCGCAGAGAAATTCGTGTTTGTTTTCCTTTTATTTTCAACTGAGTATTATGTTTGAGACTTGTCTTTGCACTTATCAAACTGACCATTATATAAATAATAGAGAAGACTTAAAGTAACTCTTATTTACTGATGACTATCTTCTACCTGTCATGAGGTTATGGATCTAAGCTAACGTTACTTAAAGCCAAGTTTAAAATTATCGTAAAAACATTTTATTGAGTTGATGCAAGATATATTTTATTGGCCCCAGCTATTTGATTGATAAATCTTTAGTAACTTATTATACCCTGAACCCATTAAAATGGGTCTTGTCTAGCGTTAATAATACTCTGGTTCCTAGAAGATTTCTCCCAAGGCTTTTTAGTCAAAATAATCGTAGTAAATTCCTTTTAATGATTGACATAATAATTAAAATGATTTTTAACTTTCTATAGTACTCAAAAGTTAAATTTATTTTTTAAAAATATATTCACATAAAAATGAGCTAAAAAAATCTGCAGCGATTTTTTTGGCTGCTTTTGATTTTGAGCAACAGGTTAACGAGTGTCAAATATGTTGGCGTAGGTCGTAGACCGTCGAACTATGCGAATTGGCCAACAACAAGACTGGCGGACAGGTGGACACACTTCCTGTGCAACCAGTTTGTCTTCTCATACTTTCCAGCCCACTGGCAACAAAATGCAGTTATTTTTTTTTTGTTTCTGTTTTTTTTTTGTTTCTGTTTTTTTTCTTTTCTAATACAAACATAAGTATGTGCACACATAAATACTCCCAACTCAAATTTCAAAATGTAAACACTTCGGGGCAGAGCAACAACAGCAATAAATTGCTGCTGGCTTTGACGCCCACATGGATGGCATAGATAGATCAGTTCTGTCGCTGCCGGTATGTATGTGTGTCGAACATATAAATAAGTACTCAAGTACATGCATACATACGTACATACATACATATGTATATATGCAAGTGTCTCTTTTTGAGTGCACACACACACACACATACACAGATTTCATATGGAAATGCTAAAATTCAAATTGCGGCTTGGCGGTATTTATGATTTTGTCGTTATCTTGCCGTTTGGGTCTTGTTGTGCTGTTGTTGTTGTTGTTATTGGCTGGCTGGCATGCCAGAGAAATGCGACGATAGGCTAAATATAAATGCAAAAGGAACACACAAAAACTCTTTGCCTTTGACAATTGTGAGCAAACTTTTTATTTCGTTTTTTTTTTTTTTTTTTTGGATAATGGAGAGAGAGCGAACGCCAGAGAACGGACAGCGCAGAAATTGTCGGCGATTGCTTGCGGCAGCTGCTAAGCGTGCGCTTTATATTTAATGTGGGCTTCCTTTTCTTTTTGTTTTAAGAGCCCATAATGCGCTAATTGCTTAAAGAGCTTTGCAGCAACAGCAAAAACAACAACAGCAAGCAGAATGGCAGCTAGATAAACAGTTGGAAACGGTCGATTGTGTGTGAGACTTTTAACTTTCTAGGGAGCTGGTCTTATTTTTTTTTGACTTGGAAGGGGGCGGGCAGCACGCACGCAAGCAAGCAAGCACACACCCATCTACATACATACATACATATAAAATTGAGAACTTCTGAAGGTTGCCAAACTGTCAAAGAGTCAGACAGTCAGTTAATCAGTTACATTTTTGGCTCTCTTTTTTTTTTGCTTTTCTACTACAGACAAACATATATATGGATATATGTATATGTAATTTGTGTTTTTGTATTCAGCGATTAGGTCATGCAACAGCAGTTAAAACAGCAACAACAAACAAAAGTTAACGCAAAGTGGCAGCAGCAACAACAACAGCAACAGCAACCACAAAGAAAAGCATTTTCCGGCTGTGAAACCAATTTATGAATGGGAGTTTTTAAAGTTGATTGAACAGCAGCGGGTTGCCAATGCCAATACGAAGCAGCTGGCCACACTGATTGCTCTGCCTCTGCCGCCGCAGCCGTCTCCGCTGCTGCTGCTGCTGCTGCTGGTGCGTTGTTGTTTGCATTGGTTTTAAAACCAGTCAAACGGTAAGTAGGTGTCGGTCGCATATTAAGGCGCTCGCCACTTGGCCGGTCAGTGGGAGCGGCGGCGTGGCGTGTGCGGTTACCTCAGCGCACCATTTTGGCAAAGAGAGTAGGTGGCTGAGCGTTGACGTAGACGTTAGCGTCGCTGCGCTAGTCCACAAAGCCGTTACGCTTATGGACAGCGGCAGAGGCGCAGGCAGCGTTTGATGAGCGCATTGCAAAGGCGTTAAGGCAAATTAACGACGGCGGCGTTCAAGTCTTTGGGGAGTAACTCTGACGGCGACGGCGACGTCGGCGCCGCAGTCAGTGCAGGAATTTTAATGAGCGCGATATTTAGTTTGCGAGCACACATTCATACATACATACATATTTATTAGTAGCACTTCACACACACACACACACACACATTTGTGCTTGTGTACGTGTGTGGGAGCACGCACGCACACTAAAAAAAAGCAGGGCATGGTGGGGATTAGTGTGGGGTCAGGGGATAGCATATGTAATGGCTAAAAATATGTTTACCTGTCGTATTTCCTGTGTTTCGGCATCCATCTTGGAGATGTGAAGATGACGATGACACTGCACTTTACCGTTCACCGAGCCAACGACTTTGACTAAATTCTTACGATGAAATTGTTGTTGCGGTTTGAGTTGCAACAGCGGGCGCAACGTCGGCGGCTGTCGGATGTCACTGGCTGTCCGACGCCCAGTCTCCGCTGCACTTGCAGTTCACTTTTCTTTTTTCACTGGCCAAGCGGTTTATTGTTGTTGTTGTCGTCGTATTTTCCACACTTTCCTTATTATGTTGGGGGTCTCTTGTTCACTCTCTCACTCTCTCTCTTTGACTCTTTGGCTTGGAATTTTCACTTCAGCCGTAGAGTAGCCTAAAAACACGCACACAAACATACATAAATATTTATAAGCACTTTTACAACTATTTTCGAATTTTTGCAAATTAATTGCGCGCACGCATTTGCCAACAATTCGCGCAGCACAGCACAGCAGAGCAGCAGCAGCAGTAACAACAACAACAGCAACAACAACAACGAGCAGTAACACAAAACACAGAAAGAGGAGAAAAACTAGCAAAGGAAAAATGTGAATCATTCACTGGGCGAACTTTGCAGTGGGCGGCAACAGGGGGATGGCTTTGCCGTGGAACTGTGCTTGGCACAATAACAGAATAACAGAAGCAGAGCAGCACAGAGCGGAGCAGCACAGTGCAGCAGCAGTTGCGCAGCGGCAGAGGCGCAGCGACAGAGGCGGCAATGAGTTTTATTGCCTAGCCACAGCATCAGCTGTTGCAATTTGGGGCCACTGTTGACACAGAAACGCACTTTTTGAGTAGCTCGCGTCAGTTTTCGGCTAATTAGTGCACAATTATTGGCGTGGCTGTTGCGCTTTTTTGCAATTTTCCACTTTTCCGCGATTGCAGGCAGTAATAAATGAAAACATTTTTCTTTTGCCTTGCTTGTTGTTGCTGTTGCGCTCGCCGTTGTTTCTCTCTCTTTTGTTCGCTATACGCCGTCAAACTGGTAGACACTGTTATGCTCTTCGCTCTCATTGGCGACTAGGCGTATGATGATGACGGTGACTGCGGCAGCGACGCCAGCGTTGACGTCAGTTTGCGAGCAGCAACGAAATGATGACCGAAAAATCAGACTATGGGTGCGTGGTACACGCATATTCTCCTTAAATTTCGCATTGCTTTACCGCCTGGATTCATACAAATGCATTTTACACGCTCCGCGCTCGATTCGCATTTAATTTTATACTTTCTATAAACTTCAAAATGCACTAAAGATCGAATAACAACTTGCTTCTTCTCTTCCAAAATTTTCTCTGAATGTGAGTGTTGTACAGCGGCAAGAGAGAGGTGTTGAACAGCACTGAAGTTTTCTTGTGGCCAATCGGCCATCCGCCACAACTTATCAAAATGAAACTGTTATTAAATCGAATCATGTGAATCATAAATATGCGACACACTCATCAGTTTGTTTAAATTTTTTGAAATATGTCTATATACAATTTATTCGGCAATAAAAATTTCAATTATTTTAAATTGAAAATTAATAGGCTGAAAAATGTATCATATATTTTAAAGTAAATTTATTTTAAATACAGTTTTTGTGTAAAAACATTATTTGATTAGCCATATCAAGGACAGAAACCCGACTATAATTTCCATCGTTTAATAAACTTCGCGCCTTCTCAAACGCCTTTTTCGAAGACGCACTGGAGGCGGGCGTAGCCAAAATTCTGCAACTGACTCTATATAAGAGTGGAAAATTATCCTTATTGGTGTGCCACCAATTCAAAACGTCATACCCATCGCTTAAGGGCACCTGTAGATCTGAATATCTGCGAATTTCCTTCAAGAATCTATCCTCAGATGTGTGCACGGCCACGAAGTCAGAGAACAGATCGTCATCCAACTCCTGCTTGATTCGAACTTCGGTATCTGAGTTCTTGTTTTCAAGCGGACAATATCTTTTCATCAGAAGTTTGCACTCCTCTCTTGTCTGATCCTTTTCAGACTGTGTGCATTGCAGCAATTGATTAGTAGGTGGAAAAAGGAACATGGCCATTTTATGGGCTGTGCCAATATGATTTTGTACCAATGATTCCAAGCACTCTGTCAGTCTCAGCTTCATTTGTGATTCTATTTTGGTGCTACACGGAGTACCGCACAGTTTTCTGAGACGGTGAATATGTGGTATAACCAGATGCAGCGTTGGCGACATCTCGTCCTCCAAGGCTCTACAGCATTTCTCAAAGTGGCCGACAATGTGCACAATAGAAGAAATGTCATTAATATTAATGTTTCGCATCAGGGCAAGGCCATTTTCAGCTCCACACAAATTTAATATGTCCATCCAATTGGCTTCTATTGACCTCAGCCTGGAGTAAATGCTGTGACATCTGCTTGGAGAGTAGTCAATCATCTGGTTCTCCAAGCTCATGGACGCACCAGACTTTTGCAAATACTTGAAAAGTTCGTTGGCCTGCCCTAACATTTCCTTGAGCCCGTCTACTTCATCGAACGCTCTCTCGACGATGCTGTTGAGCAAATGACTAATACAGTGTATTTGTCCATCTTCGAGGACTGTGGATATGATTGAGTCGGCTGATGTAACGCACATGGGATTGTCTTCCTCCAGATCACAGTCAAAGTCGCGCAGGATTCTCTCAACTTGCGTTTTTAACAGCAAACCTGTGGGGACAACAAATCCATGTTAAATATTTCTTAAGATGTGGCATATAAAGCTTACCGGTGCAGGGCACCTCATCCAGCCTGAGCAGCCGGCTCACCAGCGAGCTATTGTGGACGTAGTTTATGGTCACGCAGAGGTGGGTACTCCCCATATTATTCGGCCAGCTGCTGCACGCTATGCTATATCCATTGGCACGGGCGGCGCACACATCCGAGCGCACTCTCTCCAGGGTATCATGGTAACAGGCGTCAATGTTGGCAGAAAGCGTTGTCACCGGAGGCATGAGCTCGTCTAGCTTGAGGTGGCTACCGTAGTTGGCTCCGATTTCAATAAGCAGCGCAGCCAATTTCCTGAGACCGGAGTCCTCAGAGATGCTCAGGGGACGACAGTTTTCGACGGCCCACTCTGTCAGGGCTTGAGCCAGTTTTTCCTTGGTGTCTTCATCGAAATTGGATGAGCTGTTTTGCTCGTCCAAGAAGTCTGTGGTATCAGCGCCATATTCGTGGTCTTCGGTGCTTTCACTTAGTTTGCAGGATCGTAGCTTAACTGTTTTTATTTCCTTAGGTGATTCAACTGGATCCAAATCCTCAATAGCGTTTTTGTAGCATTTGTGCCTTACCAAATTTGACGTGCTGCCATTAAATTTAAAGACACTTGGGCACGTTCGGCAGATGACATTCTTAAGCTCAGTTCCATTTTGATCCACAACTCTGGAAAACACATTCCATACTCTGCTCCGACTTCGCTTGCTGACCACCTTAAATTCTCCACTTTGAATTCTGGCTCTTATGGATTCGTTGTCGTATTTCATATTTCTGTCCGATTCCTTCCACAACTACACTTTTTTGAAAAATTTTTTTGGAAAACTTTAAATGGTCATATTTCGGCCAAATAAAGCCCGATAGAGGTTAAAATGAGAGGGACTACTCGGGAAGGTCCATAGAATCCGCCAAGATCAACGGCGAAGTTATGTCGCTTTGAAACGTCATATCTCCAAGATTTTTTTAGAGCGGCGGAGATATGACGTTTCGAAGCGACATAACTTCGCCGTTGATCATGGCGAGATTATGTCGTGAATATCGTGTCCACAACTACACGAACTTTTTTGGAAAACTTTAAATGGTCATATCTCGGCCAAATAAAGCCCGATAGCGGCCAAAAAGGGAGGGGCTACTCGGGTAGGTCCGTAGAATCCGCCCAGATCAACGAAGAAGTTATGTCGCTTTGAAACGTCATATCTCCAAGATTTTTTTAGAGCGGCGGAGATATGACGTTTCGAAGCGACATAACTTCGCCGTTGATCATGGCGAGATTATGTCGTGAATATCGTGTCCACAACTACATGAATTTTTCGGAAAACTTAAAATGGCTATATCTCTGCCAAATAAAGCCCGATAGAGGGTAAAATGAGAGGGACTACTCGGGAAGGTCCATAGAATCCGCCAAGATCAACGGCGAAGTTATGTCGCTTTGAAACGTCAAATCTCCAAGATTTTTTAGAGCGGCGGAGCTATGTCGCTTCAAAACGACATAACCGCCGTTGACCATGGCGAGATCAAGTCGTGAATATCGTGTCCACAACCACACGAATTTTTTGGAAAACTTAAAATGGCTATATCTCGGCCAAATAAAGCCCGATAGAGGCCAAAATGGGAGGGGCTACTCGGGTAGGTCCGTAGAATCCGCCCAGATCAACGGAGAAGTTATGTCGCTTTGAAACGTCATATCTCCAAGATTTTTTTAGAGCGGCGGAGATATGACGTTTCGAAGCGACATAACTTCGCCGTTGATCATGGCGAGATTATGTCGTGAATATCGTGTCCACAACTACACGAATTTTTCGGAAAACTTAAAATGGCTATATCTCGGCCAAATAAAGCACGATAGAGGGTAAAATGAGAGGGACTACTCGGGAAGGTCCATAGAATCCGCCAAGATCAACGGCGAAGTTATGTCGCTTTGAAACGTCATATCTCCAAGATTTTTTTAGAGCGGCGGAGATATGACGTTTCGAAGCGACATAACTTCGCCGTTGATCATGGCGAGATTATGTCGTGAATATCGTGTCCACAACTACACGAACTTTTTTGGAAAACTTGAAATGGTCATATCTCGGCCAAATAAAGCCCGATAGCGGCCAAAAAGGGAGGGGCTACTCGGGTAGGTCCGTAGAATCCGCCCAGATCAACGGAGAAGTTATGTCGCTTTGAAACGTCATATCTCCAAGATTTTTTAGAGCGGCGGAGATATGACGTTTCGAAGCGACATAACTTCGCCGTTGATCATGGCGAGATTATGTCGTGAATATCGTGTCCACAACTACACGAATTTTTCGGAAAACTTAAAATGGCTATATCTCGGCCAAATAAAGCCCGATAGAGGGTAAAATGAGAGGGACTACTCGGGAAGGTCCATAGAATCCGCCAAGATCAACGGCGAAGTTATGTCGCTTTGAAACGTCATATCTCCAAGATTTTTTTAGAGCGGCGGAGATATGACGTTTCGAAGCGACATAACTTCGCCGTTGATCATGGCGAGATTATGTCGTGAATATCGTGTCCACAACTACACGAACTTTTTTGGAAAACTTGAAATGGTCATATCTCGGCCAAATAAAGCCCGATAGCGGCCAAAAAGGGAGGGGCTACTCGGGTAGGTCCGTAGAATCCGCCCAGATCAACGGAGAAGTTATGTCGCTTTGAAACGTCATATCTCCAAGATTTTTTAGAGCGGCGGAGCTATGTCGCTTCAAAAGGACATAACCGCCGTTGACCATGGCGAGATCATGTCGTGAATATCGTGTCCACAACTACACGAATTTTTCGGAAAACTTAAAATGGTCATAACTCGGCCAAATAAAGCCCGATAGAGGTTAAAATGAGAGGGACTACTCGGGAAGGTCCATAGAATCCGCCAAGATCAACGGCGAAGTTATGTCGCTTTGAAACGTTATGAGATATGTCTCCAAGATTTTTTTAGAGCGGCGGAGATATGACGTTTCGAAGCGACATAACTTCGCCGTTGATCATGGCGAGATTATGCCGTGAATATCGTGTCCACAACTACACGAACTTTTTTGGAAAACTTGAAATGGTCATATCTCGGCCAAATAAAGCCCGATAGCGGCCAAAAAGGGAGGGGCTACTAGGGTAGGTCCGTAGAATCCGCCCAGATCAACGGAGAAGTTATGTCGCTTTGAAACGTCATATCTCCAAGATTTTTTAGAGCGGCGGAGCTATGTCGCTTCAAAACGACATAACCGCCGTTAACCATGGCGAGATCATGTCGTGAATATCGTGTCCACAACTACACGAATTTTTCGGAAAACTTAAAATGGCTATATCTCGGCCAAATAAAGCCCGATAGAGGTTAAAATGAGAGGGACTACTCGGGAAGGTCCGTAGAATCCGCCCAGATCAACGGAGAAGTTATGTCGCTTTGAAACGTCATATCTCCAAGATTTTTTAGAGCGGCGGAGCTATGTCGCTTCAAAACGACATAACCGCCGTTGACCATGGCGAGATCATGTCGTGAATATCGTGTCCACAACTACACGAATTTTTCGGAAAACTTAAAATGGCTATATCTCGGCCAAATAAAGCCCGATAGAGGGTAAAATGAGAGGGACTACTC